TGTGTGTGTTTAAAATGTGTGTGTGTGTGTGTGTGTGTGTGTGTGTGTGTGTGTGTGTATGTGTGTGTGTATGTGTGTTTGTGTGTGTGTGTGTGTGTGTATGTGTGTGTGTGTTTTGGGGTGTTGTATGTGTGTGTTGTGTATGTGTGTGTGTGTGTGTGTACTCACCTATTTGTATCACCCATTTGTGGTTGCAGGGGTCGAGTCACAGCTCCTGGCCCCGCCTCTTCGCTGATTGCTACTAGGTCCTCTCTCTCCCTGCCCCATGAGCTCTATCATTTCCTCGCCTTAAAAACTATGTATGGTTCCTGCCCCCACCACATCACTTTCTGGCTATTCCATGGCCTGACCACTCTATGAATGAAGAAATACTTCCTAACATCCCTTTGATTCATCTGAGTCTTCAACTTCCAATTGTGACCTCTTGTGTCTGTTTTCCCATCTCTGGAGCATCCCGTCTTTGTCCACCTCGTCTATTCCGCGCAGTATTTTATATGTCGTTTTCATGTCTCCCTGACCCTCCTGGCCTTCAGTGTCGTCAGGCCGATTTCCCTCAACCTTTCTTCATAGGACAATCCCGTAGCTCTGGGATTTAGTCTTGTTGCAAACCTTTGCACTTTCTCTAATTTCTTGACGTGCTTGACTAGGTGTGGATTCCAAATGGTGCTGCATACTCCAGTGTGGGCCTGACGTAGATGGTGTACAGAGTCTTAAACGAATTTCCTTACGGGAGGTATCGGAACGCTATCCGTAGGTTTGCAGGCGCCCGTATGCTGCAGCAGTTATCTGATTGATGTGCGCCTCAGGAGATATGCTCGGTGTTATACTCACCCCCAGATCTTTTTCCTTGAGTGAGGTTTGCAGTCTTTGGCCATCTAAACTTATTGTGTCTGCGGTCTTCTTTGCCCTTCCCCGATCTTCATGACTTTGCATTTGGCAGGGTTAAATTCAAGGACCCAGTTGCTGGACCAGGCTTGTAGCCTGTCCAGATCTCTTTGTAGTCCTGCCTGATCCTCGTCCGATTCGATTCTTCTCATTAATTCACATCGTCTGCAAACAAGGACACTTCTGAGTCTACCCCTTTTCCGTTATGTCGTTCACGTATACCAAGAACAGCACAGGTCCTAGGACTGACCCCTGTGGAACCCCGCTTGTCACAGGCGCCCACTCTGACACCTCGTCGCGTACCATGACTCGTTGTTGCCTCCCTGTCAGATATTTGATTCCTTTTGCAGTGCCTTTCCTGTTATGTGTGCCTGGTCCTCTAGCTTTTGCAGTAACCTCTTGTGAGGAACTGTGTCGAAAGCCTTCTTGCAGTCCAAAAAATACGCAGTCGATCCACCCCTCTCTCTCTTGTCTTCCCTTCTGTCACCTTGTCATAAAACTCTGTAGGTTTGTGACACAGGATTTTCCTTCCCTGAAACCGTGCTGGTTGTCAATTATACACTTGTTTCTTTCCAGGTGCCCCACACTCTCCTCCTGATGACTTCTCCATGACCTTGCATACTTTTACACGTTAGTGGATACAGGTCTGTAGTTTAGTCCCTATGTCTTTCCCCCTTTTTAAAAAAATTGGGACATACATTTGCCTTTTTTCCATACCTCAGGGAGTTGCCCAGTTTCAAATGAAATATGTTGAAGATCTTTGTTAATGGCTCACACAATATCCTGCCCCCTCTTTAAGGACCCATGGAGAGATGTTGTTGGGTCCTCCGCCTTTGAGGTGTCAAGTTCGCAAGCAGCTTCTTCACCTCCTCCTTGGTTTTTATGTACCTCATCCAGCACTTGCTGGTGTGCCCCCCTGTTCTGATTTCTTGGAGTCCTACTGGTTTCCACTGAAAATACCTCTTTAAATTTGTGTTGAGCTCCTGACATACCTCTCGGTCGTTTCTTGTGAATTCCCCATCACCCTTCCTCAGTCTGATTAACCTGGTCCTTAAACTGTTGTTTTCCTCCTGATGTGGCTGTACAACAGCTTCGGGTCGTCTTTACTTTTGATGCTATGTCATTTTCATATTGTCTCTGAGCCTCCCTTCTTATCTGTGCTTTATTCGTTTCTGGCTCTTCGGCTTTCTTTATTTTCCTGAGTTCTCTGTCTTCTGTACCTTTTCCATTCTTAGTACACCTAGTTTTTGCTCCCTACACCTTGGGTGAACCAAGGACTCGTTCTGTTCTTCCCTTATTTCTGTTTCCCTTGGGAACAAACCTCTCCTTGCCTCCTTGCATTTTGTTGCTACATAGTCCATCATTTCTTGTACTGGTTTTCCTGTCAGTTCCTCTCCACTGAATGTCTTGAAGAAAGTTCCTCATGCCTGAGTAGTTCCCCTTTTGTAGTTTGGTTTTTCCCAGCCTATTCCTGCTACTTTTCTCCACTTGGAGCTCAACTATGTAGTCGAAGCACAGAACCACATGATCACTAGCTCCCAGGGGCCTTTCATACATGATACCCTCGATGTCCGAACTACTCATGGTGAATACAAGGTCCAACCTTGCTGGTTCATCCTCTCCTCTCTCTTGGTAGTGTCTCTAACATGTTGATGGCTTTGAGGTTCTCCAGTACCACATCCATCATCTTGGCTCTCCATGTTTCGGGACCCCCATGGGGCTCCAGGTTTTCCCAGTCAATCTCCTTGTGATTGAAATCACCCATAACTATGTATGTGTGTTTGTGTGTGTGTGTGTGTATGTGTGTGTGTGTGTGTGTGTGTGTGTGTGGGTGTGTGTGTGTGTGTGTATATGGGGTCTGTGTGTGTGTGTGTGTGTGTGTGTGTGTGTATGTGGTGCACTCACCTAGTTGAGGTTGCGGGGGTCGAGTCCAAGCTCCTGGCCCCGCCTCTTCACTGATCGCTACTAGGTCACTCTCCCTGAGCCGTGAGCTTTATCATACTCTGCTTAAAGCTATGTATGGATCCTGCCTCCACTAATCGCTTCCCAAACTATTCCACTTACTGACTAATTGTGGCTGAAGAAAATATTTCCCTAACATCCCTGTGATTCATCTGTGTCTTCAGTTTCCCAAACTGTGTCCCTTGTTTACTGTGTCCAATCTCTGGAACATCCTTTTCTTTGTCCACCTTGTCAATTCCTCTCGTATTTTGATGTCGTTATCATGTCCCCCCTATCTCTCCTGTCCTCCAGTGTCGTCGGGGTGATTTCCCTTAACCTCCCCTCGAAAGGACATACCTCTTAGCTCTGGGACTAGTCTTGTTGCAAACCTTTGCACTTTCTCTAGTTTCTTTACGTGCTTGGCTAGGTGTGGGTTCCAAACTGGTGCCGCATACTCCAATATGGCCTAACGTACACGGTGTACAGGGTCCTAAAATGATTCCTTATTAAGATGTCGGAATGCTGTTCTAAGGTTGCTAGGCGCCATATGCTGCAGCAGTTATTTGGTTGATGTGCGTTTCAGGAGATGTGCCGGGGTGTTATACTCACCCCAAGACCTTTTTCCTTGAGTGAGGGTATGTATCTCTGGCCCCTGACTTCCGTCTGCGGTCTTCTTTCCCTTTCCCCCAATCTCATGACTTTGCACTTGGTGGGATTGAACTCCAGGAGCCAATTGCTGGACCAGGTCTGCAGCTTGTCCAGACCCCTTTGTAGTTCTGCCTGGCTCTTCGTTCGAGTAAATTCTTCTCATCAACTTCAGGGTCATCTGCAAACAGGGACACCTCAGAGTCTATTCCTTCCGTCATGTCGTTCACAAATACCAGAAACAGCACTGGTCCTAGGACTGACCCTGTGGGACCCCGCTGGTCACAGGGCCCACTCTGACACCTCGCCACGTACCATGACTCGCTGCTGTCTTCCTGTAAAGTTTTCCCTGATTCATTTTTAGTGCCTCCCTGTTACCCCTGCTTGGTCCTCCAGTTTTTGCACCAATCTCTTGTGTGGAACTGTGTAAAAACGCCTTCTTGCAGTCCAAGAAAAGCAATCCCCCCACCCCTCTCTCTCTTGTCTTACTGCTGTAAACCATGTCATAGAACTCCAGTATGTTTGTGACACAGGTTTTTCCCGTCCCTGAAACCATGTTGGCTGCTGTTGATGAGATCGTTCCTTTCTAGGTGTTCCACCACTCTTTACCCTGATAATCTTTCCATGATTTTGCTTTACTATACATGTCAGTGACACTGGTCTGTAGTTTAATGCTTCATGTCTGTCTCCTTTTTTAAAGATTGGGACTACATTTGCTGTCTTCCATGCCTCAGGCAATCTCCTGTTTCGATAGATGTATTGAATATTGTTGTTGGGGGTACACATAGCGCCTCTGCCCCCTCTCTAAATTTACCCATGGGGATGTTATCGGGCCCCCTTTGCCTTTGAGGTATCTAGCTCACTCAGAAGCCTCTTCACTTCTTCCTCGGTTGTGTGCACTGTGTCCAGCACTTGGGGGGTTTTGCCCCACCTCCCCGTCTTTCTGGAGGTCCCTTCTGTCTCCTCTGTGAACACTTCTTTGAACTCTTGTTGAGTTCCTCACATACTTCACGGTCATTTCTTTTTGTCTCCTCCTTCCTTCCTTAGCCTGATTACCTGGTCCCTTTACTGTTGTTTTCCTCCTGATGTGGCTGTACAACAGTTTCGGGTCAGATTTGGCTTTCGCTGCTATGTCATTTTCATATTGTCTTTGGGACTCCCTTCTTATCTGTGCATTTTTTGTTGTGTGTGTGTGTGTGTGGTGTGGGTGTGTGTGTGTGTGTGTGTATGTGTGTGTATGTGGTGTGTGGTGTGTGTGTATGTGTGTGTGTGTATGTGTGTGTGTATGTGTGTGTGTGTGTGATGTGTGTGTGTGTATGTGTGTGTGTTGTGTGTGTGTGTGTGTATGTGTGTGTTTTATGTGTATGTGTGTGTTGTGTGTGTGTGTGTGTGTGTGTGTGTGTGTACGTGTGTGTATATGTGTGTGAGTGTGTGTAGGTGTGTATGTGTGTGTGTGTGTGTGTGTGTTTTAGGAGGGAGGAGAATGTTTCCAACATTAATATTGACTTACTGCTTTATATTCATTGCAGGACTCTCTCCCACAACCTTCTGACAGTGTTGGATGACGCAGCCTTCACAGGTCTGCGTAACCTGAAGATGCTGTAAGTTCTTCAGAATTATTTACATTCCCTCATAAATTTTACAAGTCATTAGAAGAATATTCATATAATTATTATTATAATCAAGGGGGTAGCGCTAAACCCGGAGGATTATACAGCGCCTGGGGGGGGGGGATGTGGAAGGCATTCAGGCTTAATTCGGGGAACTGGAGCACAGATCCAATTCCCTAAATCAAGAGCCCCTCACCAACATCAAGGAACCTTCCCTGAGGGGAGAGTATTCACAGCATATTTGATTCACAGCCTAGCAGCCCGATTTTAGCATTTTTTTGTTGCCAGTCCAGTAGCATAGCGACAGAATCTCCGTTTTTCAGCCTAGCAACTCAGTGGTAGACATTTGGTTCACAGCCTGTCAGCTTAGTGGCAGACATTTGGTTCACAGCCTGTCGGCTTAGTGGTAGACATTTGGTTCACAGCCTGTCAGCTTAGTGGTAGACATTTGGTTCACAGCCTGTCAGCTTAGTGGTAGACATTTGGTTCACAGCCTACAAGCTTAGTGGTAGACATTTGGTTCACAGCCTACAAGCTTAGTGGTAGACATTTAGTTCACAGCCTGTCAGCTTAGTGGCAGACATTTGGTTCACAGCCTGTCAGCTTAGTGGTAGACATTTGGTTAACAGCCTGTCAGCTTAGTGGTAGACATTTGGTTCACAGCCTACAAGCTTAGTGGTAGACATTTGGTTCACAGCCTGTCAGCTTAGTGGTAGACATTTGGTTCACAGCCTACAAGCTTAGTGGTAGACATTTGGTTCACAGCCTGTCAGCTTAGTGGTAGACATTTGGTTCACAGCCTGTCAGCTTAGTGGTAGACATATGGTTCACAGCCTACAAGCTTAGTGGCAGACATTTGGTTCACAGCCTGTCAGCTTAGTGGTAGACATTTGGTTCACAGCCTGTCAACTTAGTGGCAGACATTTGGTTCACAGCCTGTCAGCTTAGTGGCAGACATTTGGTTCACAGCCTGTCAGCTTGGTGGCAGACATTTGGTTCACAACCTGTCAGCTTAGTGGTAGACATTTGGTTCACAGCCTGTCAGCTTAGTGGTAAATATTTGGTTCACAGCCTGTCAGCTTAGTGGTAAATATTTGGTTCACAGCCTGTCAGCTTAGTGGTAGACATTTGGTTCACAGCCTGTCAGCTTAGTGGTAGACATTTGGTTCACAGCCTGTCAGCTTAGTGGTAAATATTTGGTTCACAGCCTGTCAGCTTAGTGGTAAATATTTGGTTCACAGCCTGTCAGCTTAGTGGTAGACATTTGGTTCACAGCCTGTCAGCTTAGTGGTAGACATTTGGTTCACAGCCTGTCAGCTTAGTGGTTTGACATTTGGTTCACAGCCTGTCAGCTTAGGGGGGTAAATATTTGGTTCACAGCCTGTCAGCTTTTGTGGTAGACATTTTTGGTTCACAGCCTGTCAGCTTAGTGGTAGACATTTGGTTCACAGCCTGTCAGCTTAGTGGGAAATATTTTGGGTTTACAGCCTGTCAGCTTAGTGGTAGACATTTGGTTCACAGCCTGTCAGCTTAGTGGTAGACATTTGGTTCACAGCCTGTCAGCTTAGTGGTAAATATTTGGTTCACAGCCTGTCAGCTTAGTGGTAAATATTTGGTTCACAGCCTGTCAGCTTAGTGGTAGACATTTGGTTCACAGCCTGTCAGCTTAGTGGTAGACATTTGGTTCACAGCGGTAGACATTTGGTTCACAGCCTGTCAGCTTAGCGGTAGACATTTGGTTCACAGCCTGTCAGCTTAGCGGTAGACATTTGGTTCACAGCCTGTTAGTTCAGTGTGATAAATGGCTTAAAACCGACAAGCTGAAGATTGAGACACTTATGTAACGTCTTTAATGAAAAAAACGTTTCGCCACACAGTGGCTTCATCAATCCAATACAGAGCAGAAAGGTGTAAGGAGAGGAGGAGTTTGAGGTAATCAGTCCCTCAGCTTGGAATCGATTTGCTCCGTCCATCTTGTAGAAAGTACAGCATATGGTCGGAGAAGTGGCTTATATATAGTAGTCAGGTGAATGGAAGCAGGAGGAGGCGGGATCACAGTGGAAGCAGGAGGAGGCGGGATCACAATGGAAGCAGGAGGAGGCGGGATCACAATGGAAGCAGGAGGAGGCGGGATCACAATGGAAGCAGGAGGAGGCGGGATAACAGTGGAAGCAGGAGGAGGCGGGATCACAGTGGAAGCAGGAGGAGGCGGGATCACAGTGGAAGCAGGAGGCGGCGGGATAACAGTGGAAGCAGGAGGAGGCGGGATCACAGTGGAAGCAGGAGGAGGCGGGATCACAATGGAAGCAGGAGGAGGCGGGATCACAGTGGAAGCAGGAGGAAAGGGGGGGATCACAGTGGAAGCAGGAGGCGGGGATAACAGTGGGAAACAGGAGGGGGGCGGGATCACAGTGGGAAACAGGAGGAGGCGGGATCACAATGGAAGCAGGAGGAGGCGGGATCACAGTGGAAGCAGGAGGCGGCGGGATAACAGTGGAAGCAGGAGGAGGCGGGATCACAGTGGAAGCAGGAGGAGGCGGGATCACAATGGAAGCAGGAGAAGGCGGGATCACAGTGGAAGCAGGAGGAGGCGGGATCACAGTGGAAGCAGGAGGAGGCGGGATCACAGTGGAAGCAGGAGGAAAGGGGGGATCACAATGGAAGCAGGAGGAGGCGGGATCACAATGGAAGCAGGAGGAGGCGGGATCACAATGGAAGCAGGAGGAGGCGGGATCACAATGGAAGCAGGATGAGGTGGGATCACAATGGAAGCAGGAGGAGGCGAGATCACAATGGAAGCAGGATGAGGCGAGATCACAATGGAAGCAGGATGAGGCGGGATCACAATGGAAGCAGGATGAGGCGGGATCACAATGGAAGCAGGAGGAGGCGGGATCACAATGGAAGCAGGAGGAGGCGGGATCACAATGGAAGCAGGAGGAGGCGGGATCACAATGGAGCAGGAGGAGGCGGGATCACGTGGAAGCAGGAGGAGGCGGGATACAATGGAAGCAGGATGAGGCGGGATCACAATGGAAGCAGGATTTAGGCGGGATCACAATGGAAGCAGGATGAGGCGGGATCACAATGGAAGCAGGAGGAGGCGGGATCACAATGGAAGCAGAAGGAGGCGGGATCACAATGGAAGCAGGAGGAGGCGGGATCACAATGGAAGCAGGAGGAGGCGGGATCACCCAAAGGAAGCAGAAGGAGGCGGGATCACCATGGAAGCAGGAGGAGGCGGGATCACAATGGAAGCAGGAGGAGGCGAGATCACAATGGAAGCAGGAGGAGGCGGGATCACAGTGGTACCATCCACTAGTGTAAGTAGATCTTCGTCCAAAGGTTGGACAAGTGTTGAAGAATTCCTTGTATCAAGATCCCATGATGTTGCAGTGTCTGACAGATGTGATATCGCATGTGATATCAGTGGAATCACATATGGTTCGCAGCCTAGGTCATTACTCTAGCAGCTCAGTGGTAAAGACACATAATCTTGTAGCTCAGGTGCACAACCTTCGGGACATAACGAAAGGACTCAAGTGCAATCCTTAGCAAGAAAAGATTATAGGCATCTGCTTACACCTATTTCTGCTGATCATCTAGCAGCAGATAGGCACCTGGGTGTTAGTCATCTTTTGTGCATACTGGAGAACTGGAAAATAAATCAACAGCAGTGGACTTTGTACATACTGACGCACTCTGCAGAGAACTGTCTACTTCTACTATGATTCAAGACCATCGTCTGTTAAACCAGACAACAATAAAGAAAAAATTAGTAAATTTAAGCTTATGAAGTTATTTTTTGGCATGCTGAAGTTGATCTGAATTCAGAATGAACCCATGATGTTGGATACTGTCAACAAGAGTGGCTCTTTGGCTCTATGTTACATGAATATATTTGATGCACCTCAGAGGAAAGTCTTGCGGCTGTCTGCTTACCTTCTTGAGCATAAATCCTGCCATCATGTCTGCTTGACAGGGAGACTCAGAGAACATTACTTCTGCTCTGACCATATCAACGTTCAGACATATTTACAAAATTTTGCTTAAATTACATGTCTGTGCCACTTACACATATCTATATTTGCCGTAGATTTATTTCCTCTATATTAAATTTCTATTTCTGATTAACATGAATAGACGAGAATGACTTGTTACTTATGACACTGAACGTGATAATATTTCGTTTGGATTTTTAACCCTGGAGGGTCAGCCACCCAGGAAACCCAAGAAAGTTAGTGCGTCATCTAAGACTGTCTTATTTCCATTGTGTTCCTCAATCTTGTCCCTCAGGATGCAACCCACACCAGTCGACTAACACCCAGGTACCTATCTGCTGCTAGGTGAACAGGACAACAGGTGTAAGGAAACGCATCAAAATGTTTCTACCCCACCGGAAATCGAACCCGGGCACACCGTATGTGAAGCGAGAGCTTTACCAGCTGGGCCAATGGTGTTGCGAGAACCAAACATATGTGGGTACCTAAAAGTGACCATTTTTAGAAAGACACCATTTTTAGAAAGACACCATTTTTAGAAAGACACCATTTTTAGAAAGACACCATTTTTAGAAAGACACCATTTTTAGAAAGACACCATTTTTAGAAAGACACCATTTTTAGAAAGACACCATTTTTAGAAAGACACCATTTTTAGAAAGACACCATTTTCAGGAAGACACCATTTTCAGAAAGACACCATTTTCAGAAAGACACTATTTTCAGAAAGACACCATTTTCAGGAAGACACCATTTTCAGAAAGACACTATTTTCAGAAAGACACTATTTTCAGAAAGACACCATTTTCAGAAAGACACCATTTTTCAGAAAGACACCATTTTCAGAAAGACACCATTTTCAGAAAGACACCATTTTCAGAAAGACACCATTTTCAGAAAGACACCATTTTCAGAAAGACACCATTTTCAGAAAGACACCATTTTTCAGAAAGACATCAACTTGGTTACACAAAACACTGGTGCTCCCAG